TATATTAATAAATTACAAGGTTGTGAATAATATTCTTTTGTGATTTTTTTTTATCCTGTAATTTTTGTGAAATATTTAATTATWAAATATTTATTGAATATTAGTTATTTGTCTCCAGTTTATTACAATTATTTTAATTTTGGTAAAATAAATTGTTTAAAAACCGAGTAAATGGATATCGCTCTGCTATACAGTGTTTACTAAAGAGTTACCATGATGGATGGTATTAAATTTGAATTCAATGATATAACATCATTGTACCTATATGAAATACGATTCTGAGCAGATACTCATTGTGATTCACATTGTTGAACGCTTTTTGTAATTCAAGAAAGATGCCCAAAACTTAGAATTTTTTTATCCAAATTGATATGAATTAAGTATGAAGTTCAAAATAATGGATCTGTAGTTGTCATATTAGAATGAATACCATATTTATTTGGTGAAAAAAATGAATATTTTAATAGAAATGTCATTAGTCTTCCTTTTATAAATGTTTAGATATAATTAAAGTTAATGTAATGGGTCTGTAGTAACTACTTAGTTTTTTGTCACCTGATTTTTTTTGCCTATTAGACTTTTTTCATAAATATTCTACACATTTTTAGTAAAGAAAAATTCTTTTTCACTTAAATAGTCAATGAGCCAAAAAAATATTTTTCAGTAAAATAAAGTATTTAAATATTTAATTGATAATATTTATTTATGGAAAATAYTATGTTTCTAATYTATAAATAAGTTCTAATTATTTTTAGTTTTTTTTGTATAAAGGTAAATAATTTTCTTTTTGTTCAGTCAAGATTATAATACAAGATGCACTCTAAAACTTAGCTTTAATAAAATTAAACTTTTTTGATTTTGGATATTTACCATTAAATAATGAATTCTATAAAATATACATTTTATTTGATAACGAAAAGAAATATTTGGTACATAAATTTCTAAACAAAATGTTCAAAATATTTTGACGATCCAAACTTCCAATTTTTTAAAAATTTATTTAAATAAATATCAATACAATTTTATTAGTTTGGTTAAAAACTTTAAAATTTTAATACTTTAATACAAGGTTCCTTATGAGTTTTAAATTAAACAGTTAAAAAATATCAAGACACATGAAAAGTATTAATTTCTCTAGATAATATTATGTTAAATTAAAATTTAAACAAAATATTATTTATTTAATTTTAATACTTAAATTAAATTTTATTAAATTTTTATAATAACATTACTTATAATAAAAAAAATAGATGTGTGCATCATAAAAAATTAATATTGAATATTAATATTATTTTGAATATTCCCCGTATATTCAGGAATTAAATGTTATGCCACTTATCAAAAGAAAGTTCTAAATTTTCTATAAAATAATGAATTATTTTTGGAAAGTACACAATTTAAAGATATTATGAAGTAGATAATTTACCTCTATAAATAAAAATTATTTATAAAATTACTGGGGAAAAGACTAAAAAATTTAGTATTAACATGAAACTGGATATTTTCTTTTAGACTTTACTTTAAAAAAATATTTGGAATACAAAATAATATTTATGTAACATTTCTTGTG